GTAGTAGTTATTATTAATAATAATTATCATAATATACACATTTTAAAGAGACGGTTCACCGGTTCACCTCCCCTGTTTAACAGCGCGGCGCGCGGCGTTGGATTTTTGGCACATCCTGCGGACTTCAGGCGATATGGGGGGGGTCAGGTGGCCTGAGCAGATGTGACTCAGCTGGTATTCGTGCCATGGTAGTCTTGCCACAGGTAGGATCAAAGAATACTACCCTCTGGTAAACTAACATAACCATGGAAAATCACCATTTTTTAATGGGAAAATCAACCATAAATGGCAATTTTCAATAGCTATGTTAAATTACCAGAGGGTAGAAGAATGCATTGCTTCCACCTTTCACTGGGTCCTCGCCACGCCTGCAGCAGAGAAAAGCCAGCGTTTGAGCTGGATCCATGCAGAAACCATTTGGGCAAAGTTCCTTCTTCAAACAATAGGGATCCATGCATTTTGCATTCAAGCGCGAACTTCCGACGTTTTGCAGCAGGAAGAGTCAGCCCACACCAGATCAACCAGTAAGAACAGAGTTCATTGGCCTTAATGGACTCTCAAGATCAAACAGCACCAGCAAGAGCTCAGACGGCAAAGCCACACGTCTTTCGGTGCGTTTCCCCGGACCTGTTGCGCATCCTGGGTTCTGCGGGGTCACAGTTTTCACCATGCGGACGTGAGGCCGGATTGGCACAACATTGATGGCGCCCTTTGACGGCGCCCAAAGACGATAAAGACAAGGGACGGCTTCCAACAGCCAATGCTTTTTGGACATCTTTAGACTCCTTTCATGGTTGGGATGATTGAAAATTCGCGACATACATACCTCATGGCCAGTCGCAAGCTAATTTCTTCCTACTTTTATCCCCTTTTCAAATCATTTTTGGCACCACCCCCACCGATCATCTCTGCAGTCTTCCATGGCGACAGTGGCAGAGGACACAACTGGATCTGTGATGGCGTAAGGGGAGGCGTCTGAGAACTTGTTCCATTTCTTCATCCAGGTATGGTCTGGACATTTAATGGAACAACTCGGGATTTGACAATTCAGAACATTCGTTCCTTGAATTGTCCCAATTAACATACAAAATCAGAACGCGGTATACCACGTTCCAATAGACACACGCATCTTTTCGGAATTCCAGAGACGAAAGGCATCAATTCGAAACGCAGGAGCAGCCAGCCCCAGCGAATTTGTGTCGGTTGCTTGCTTCAAAATGCCTCCGAGACCGGCTGATGAATTGGTTGCCTATCATAGGGCCTTATATAGAGGTTTGAACCATCAAACATACGGGGATAAAATGGACATAGCTGACTAGCTGGTAGACTGGGTGATACTGGCTGTTTATGTATATTTTCACGACCTCGCCGCGACATCACTGTGAATGATGGTTAGGATTGTGTTAGCTGTCCCAAAAGGGGCGATGAATTGTTATTTTTTCCAGATCTATACAATTTATGTTGTGCCCTCTGCCAATTTAAAGTGGCCGGCGTGAAAATTGAAACTTTCAATGGGAAGTATGGGATAATCATCGAACTAAATGGGTGATTTTCCATTGAAAGGTTCAATTACCAGAAGGCATTTATTTATATGTACATGTATCATCACGTATCTATATCTGGGTATATCTATACTTGCACATGCGATCCACTGTTCTGGCATCTATACCATTGTCTTTGCTGTACACAAAGACATAAATCCCTTTTGGGGTGGTCACTGGCTGTGATTCCTGCAGTCCCAAGTGTCGCAGGACAAGTCTAAACTATCTCAAAGAAATGCATTCAACTGGAAAAAGAAACAAAAAGAGTTACTCCTCTCATTTTCATCCAGTTGGATATCATCAACTTCCACTGCCACGTCGAGAAATGAAACGACCCAGTACTGGGATGTGCATCCCACTTAGTAAGTGGCTTAGAATTCATATATAACCCACCCAATCAAACATGTAAGTGGGATTAAGTGGGTGCGGGCCGCGAGGCTTCTGTTGAGACAGCTGGAAGAGGCATATTGGTCTACGGGCTGCGAGAAGCCAAGGCTGGCTATGATCTGCTATGATGAAGATATACTTTTGTCGTTTTTTCTTCAATAACCAACCATATGTATATATACACATATGGACATACATATATATATATATATAAATATACATACATATATATATACATATACATATATATATACATACATACAGGTCTTTTTTTAAATAATTAATAACCTATGCTATGGATGGCTGTGTCTGATCATGGGGGCATCTGCCCACAAATTTATGTTCGTTTTCAAGTAGGGAAAATGAGGAGTCGAAAAGCTGGGGTACCCCCATTTCACACAACTCCTGTGACGTTGTTGTTTTTTTCTCCGAATTACAATACGGTTGGTTACATGAGAAACCACAACTTATAGACTGGTTGGTGGTTTGGTTCACATTTGCTATTGTTTTCCCCAAGCTCGCTGGGATGATGATCCAATCTGACGTTCATATTTTTCAGAGGGATGGCTCAACCACCACAACGAAGCAATGTCCAGGGCAGATGCTGCAGCATGGAGCCCTGGAACTTTGGAATCTTGCGAGCCCGTGTGCGAAGGGATGCGGTGCAGTTGAAGCGAACTGGAAAGATATGTTGTACCCGGTCATGACTAACGTAGCGAACTGGAAAGATCCACCCATTTTTAACAGGTTAGTCATCATAAAACCATCTATAAATGGGCCCTTTTCCATAGCAATGTTGAATTGCCGAGTTGGGTAACGAAGTTATCTATCTGCGACTTGACCAGAGTCGCAGCGAGTTGGGATTCGTCAGCTTCCTGGCATTGATTTTCTGAGAAAGATATTGTACAAAAGTCATTCAATAGCTTTCCAGTAGTAATAGTACGATAGAAAACCAATAGAAAGATTATTGACTGAAATAGTCGCAAATCATCCCTAGTAACTAGCTTTCCAGTTGCACCCCAAAGATAGAACTTCTTGGTTCCGCCTCAATTGTGAGTGACACACACACACACACTCAGTGGGTCACTGAGCATGGCTCAAGGTTCTTCATCTGAACCCAAAAAATCAGCCTCTAGCGCAAGTCCAATTCAATATGTCTGTGCGCAACACGACAATTTTTAAGTGCAAAAAACAAAACATACCAAGGATTCTTGCCAATTGACACATGGTTTTTTGCACGACAAATTGAAGAGGGAAGTCCGACATAGTTCCCGGAAAAAATATGGGTTCGTCGATTTTGCCAAGAAAATCCTTCTTTTTCATGCTGAGCCTCTCGTAATCCAACATAGCAAAGGACAATTGCCCATTTGTACATGGCTTATCCATAAAAATGGTCATTTTCCAGTTCCCAAAGTGTTTACCAGAGGGCATCACCCTTTTCTTACAGTCAAGGGTCAAAGTCGTAGCGATTCTTTGCTTTTGAGTCCATACCATTGGGCGAAGCTTTTCCGGGGGGTCGTAGCGATTGTGGCTGTGCCTATGAGATTTGCAGTGATTTGTTGAATCGTTTTAGAGGCTTTTGTGGGTCAAATCCATGTATTTCTGTTGGGTTCTTGGATGACCATACAAGTGCTCGGTTTAAGTCGTATCAGTTTCTTAAAGTCGTATCGGGAGGCCGTGCGCCTGGAAAAAGTTCAAGTTTCGCATCATCACAACTTTTAGTAATTGAACGATTTCATTGTTTTAGGGCCGTGCGCCTGGAAAAAGTTCAATTTTTAGTATCGCGTTGATTTTTAAAGCTTATATGTGTTCATTCTTTCAAGGGGGCAAACGCTGGTTGCTGCTTGCTTGCTGCTGCTTGCCTGCTGCTGCTTGCTTGCTGCTGCTTGCCTGCTGCTTGCCTGCTGCTTGCCTGCTGCTTGCTGTTGCTGCTGCTTGCTGCTGCTTGCTGTTTTCTTTATTTTTGAGATGAAGAAGGGGTGCGGTGGCGCAGGGAGTTCCGAACTTCATGTTGTGGTCAATGATGGCCCTGGGTCCTGCGCTTGACAACTCATGAGTCAGGGGTCGTTCGGGGGGTCGTTCGGGGGTCGTTCGGGGGGTCGTTCGGTTGTATTTTCAGCACTTGTTTTCATTTGTGTTCTTTGTTTGTTCCTTTTTTTTTATCTTCTTCTCTTTCTTTCTCACAGACTGTTACTTCTTCTCTTTTCATTGTTTCCTTCGTTCACTCAGTCTTACTCCTTCTCAAATCAAACCATTGTGGCAGAATGATTGTTTGTAATGCAAAGCAGTGCTGGCAGAAGAGTATAGTCTGCAGTGCGAGGGGTGGGCTCTCTCGTGTTTGTTATAATGGTACTTTGTATCCTTAAAATAAAGGCAATCCCCTTGTGTTTTGATGGATTGCTGTGACCCTGCTGTGACCCGGTCATGGCGACTTTTCCGCAAGCGGTTTGTCCACATTCAAGAAAATTGCTCTGACTTCAGCCCTCGACTGTACTGGTTCTAAACGCAGGGAATTTGAGGGAATGATCCATAATCACTATCAATAATCATCCCAGCAACCCCCAGCAACCCATCCATTCCCTACGTTTAGCACCAGTAAGTTTTATATCGCATATCAATAGATGGATAACATAGCTCTTGAACATGACCATTTATAGTGGATTTACCAATTAAAAATGGTGATTTTCCGTAGTTATGTTAGTTTACCAGAGGGTATTCAATGTCACCCTTTTTCGCATAACAATTCCATTCGAAATCGCCATTCGATGGAGAACTGAGGCGTTCGAAGCGCCCAATGTAGAAGATCTCATAGAGGCGGAGTACAGGCCAGGACACTGAAAAACCGGACTGGACAATGGGGAGATTTACCCATCAAAATATATAGAGGTTAATGGAATTTTTCATGGTGATTTAATGGGATTTCATGGTGATTTAATGAGATTTCATGGTGATTTAATGGGATTTTCATGGGTTTTTTTGTCGGAAATCATTGAAATATACTGTAATAGGATAACCGTCAACCATACACAACAAGGGGGATTTAACCAGTCTATGGGATAAAAAAGGGAGTTCACCATCGATGAACATTTCACCAGTGAAGCTGATAACTGTACAGTTGATTTAGTGAATTTAATCACCGAATATGGGTTTGAAGCCACCAAGAATGCGGAGATCATTGATTCATTGATCACTTCATACATGCTGGTTGATTGATGGTTGAGCCGGGATATTTGATCGTCTTGAAGAAGTTCAATTCCATATCTCTGTTGCTAGAGAAGTGCAGATGCTTATTTATCAATACAGTATCTATATCCTCAGTGCAAGCTTTCAAAAACATGTACATACACATACACATACAGACACACACACACATACAGACAATACACACACACACACATACAGACATGCACACACACATACACGCACACACACACACATACTTGCTTACTTGTTTGCTTTATTACTTACTTAACATATGAAAAATGGGGAAACTGGATGACTGGTTTAATGGGATTTATATATTGGGATTTATTCGGATTTAGTGGCAGAACTGTACGTATAGATACGAAACACCGCCCAGGTCACGTACACTTTTGATCCTGACTTTCCAGAGGCCCAAGTCCTTTCTACGGCGTCGCGCGCCGGATGAGATCGAGGCTATCTGTGGGGTACATCCAAGATCAGTTTCCGACGATACCATCCTGAGTGAAACAAAGCTTTTCCAAGTTTTGGGCTGATAAATCATCCACAAACAGCTATAATTCCCACTGAATCACCATTTTTCGTGGTCAACCCACCATTTCCCCGTGGTTTTCCTCGGTTTCGTCAACGGGTGCAGCACCTTTTTTTGGGTTTTCCATGTCTGATCCATCCCCAACTGCTGCGCGCAGACGGCCCTGACGCAACTGGACCAAGGGGCCTTGAACATGGTGAAGCAAAGCATGGGGTCCCAGCAAACCTTGGCTTTTTAGTCCTAAAAATATGATGATTTTTAGTGTTATGGGCAGAGTATAATTTGGGATATACATATCTCTCTCTATCTCTCTATCTCTCTATCTCTCTATCTCTCTATCTCTCTATCTCTCTCTCTCTCTATCTATCTATCTATCTATCTATCTATCTATCTATCTATCTATCTATCTATCTATCTATCTATCTATCTATCTATCTATCTTATCTATCATATCTATCCTATCTACCCTATCTATCCTATCTATCCTATCTACCCTATCTATCCTATCTATCCTATCTATCCTATCTATCCTATCTATCCTATCTACCCTATCTATCCTATCTATCCTATCTACCCTATCTACCCTATCTAGCCTATCTAGCCTATCTATCCTATCTATCCTATCTATCCTATCTACCCTATCTATCCTATCTATCCTATCTATCCTATCTATCCTATCTATCCTATCTATCCTATCTATCCTATCTAACCTATCTATCCTATCTATCCTATCTATCCTATCTATCCTATCTATCCTATCTATCCTATCTATCCTATCTATCCTATCTATCCTATCTATCCTTCTATCCTATCTATCCTTCTATCCTATCTATCCTATCTATCCTATCTATCCTATCTATCCTATCTATCCTATCTATCCTATCTATCCTATCTATCCTATCTATCTTATCTATCCTATCTATCTATCTATCTATCTTACTTATCTATCCTCTCTACCTTATCTATCCTAATCTATCCTATCTACCCTATCTATCCTATCTATCCTATCTATCCTATCTATCCTATCTATCCTATCTATCCTATCTATCCTATCTATCCTATCTATCCTATCTATCCTATCCTATCCTATCTATCCTATCCTATCCTATCTATCCTATCCTATCCTATCTATCCTATCTATCCTATCTATCTATCCTATCTATCTATTAATATCCTATCTATCTATTAATATCCTATCTATCTATTAATATCCTATCTTGGTTCGGGCACCTGCCTCTATAATTGCCCCTTTGTGTCGCGGCTGACGTGTACCGTTCTGGTTGACATTGTCGGTGACGTTGTAAACCCCAATTTTTTTTTTTAAACGTAAATTTTGACGTTGTAAACGCCGATTTTTTTTCTTACGTAAATTTTGACGCTGTAAACGCCGATTTTTTTTCTCTTACGTAAATTTTGACGTTGTAAACGCCGATTTTTTTTGTCTTACGTAAAATTTGACGTTGTAAACACTGATTTTTTTTTTGTCTTACGTAAATTTTGACGTTGTAAACCCCGATTTTTTTCGTCTTACGTAAATTTTGACGTTGTAAACGCCGATTTTTTTTCTCTTACGTAAATTTTGAGGTTGTAAACGCCGATTTTTTTGTCTTACGCAAATTTTGACGTTGTAAAAGCATTTTTTTCCTACCGTACATTTTGACGCTGTATAAACGCCAAATTCTTTCTTCTTACATAAATTTGGATCTTGTAAACGCCACTTTTAGTCTTGTTCATGTCATGATTGATGTTATCAACCCCGAACTTTTCTTGCTTCAAGTCAGGACTGACATTGTGAGTTGAGTTGTATTTTTTTTGTTTCCTGTGATTTATGCGTCATGAGTCATGATTCATGATTTACTATGCGTGCCCATTTTTGTTCATGTCGTTATTGCAATGATGTTTTTGATGTTGAGATGGGTCAATTCTTTTTGTATTGTCACACTCCTGATTCCTGATTACAGTTTTTGGTTTTTGTTTGTTTCTTGAAATTCAGCTGGCATTGAAGCTGGTGGGTGTGTTTAACTTGTCTTTTTGTCCCTCCATTGGCCCTTCATTTGTTGGTTATGCCGTCGTCGTCGTCGTCGTCGTCGTCGTGCGTGATTGTTGTTGTTGTTGTTGCTCTTCTTCTTTTCTTCGCTTTCCTGTTCTTGTTTTCGTTGCTCCGTTCTTGGTGATAACCGTGCTTGTGGGTCACTGTCACACATTGCTACATGGTTGCGTTGTCACATCGTCACTTCCTGCTTGTAAGTGTTGCATAATGCATAATGCTGAATAAATGATGAACTAATTCGTTTCCTTAAACCTGGTAGATCCTGGTAGGCTGTGGCAAGTAAAACTGGTAGGTAACGGCAGGTAACAAGACAAGACTCACCTGCGAGAAAGGCAGGTCCGATCAGGATGCACGCACGCACGCACGTCCACGCACGTACGCACGCACGCAATGCGACTCTACGCGCCCCGAAACTAAGCAAAATTCGATCTCACTGAAGTACTGTGTGACTAGTGCTGTAAACTAATGGGCAAATGTGTGATGACACACGGGCAAATTATAGAGGCAAGAGCTTAATATAAACACAGTCCCGAACTATCCCGAACTATTCCGAACTATATGAAATGCATCCGAACGGTTCAGAACGGTTCAGGTGTCACACCGTTTTCCCCATCCTTGCCCCCAGGATGGATCTCAGAGGGCCACTGACCGCTCACGTGACAAGATTGCCTGCCTTAGACGGGTTTGGGTGTGACATATACTTGTCAGAAGATTGTGAAATTTAGCCTAAGTTTCTTCCAGCCCCGTTCTTTGGGAAAACATTCTGCCACGACTTGTGTCACAGCTTAAGTTGCTTTCAGACATGCTTTTCTTCACCGAAGTTTTACTTGAAGTACCTTGGCTTATGGCAATTTACAACTCACAACTCGCAACTGACATCACTTGTCTTACAACTTTTCTTCCTCTTATAATTTGTAACTAACTTAAAACCTCATAGCTTAAAACCTTTACTTGCTTACAAGTCATGCATCTTCAACTTGTTAACTTAAATGATAATATGTTGTAAAAATTGCCCACTTTTAAGCTTAGAATCCAAGGCAAAAACCTGATACGCTTGAACCGTTCTGAACCGTTCGGATGTATCGGAGGCCTGAGTTCGGATTAGTTCGGAATAGTTCGGAATGGTTTGGGATAGTTCGGAGACGCCTGAACCGTTCTGAACCGTTCGGATGTATCAGAAACTGATACGCCTGAACCGTTCTGAACCGTTCGGATGTACCGGAAATTTACCATGTTTTTAAAAGCAATTTTCTATATTTTTTGAACTTAACTTGAACTTAATGTTTAAACATTTAATTTTATCATCATTGACATGGATAACTTACTGATAACTTAATAACCTTTCAACTGGTGGGCTGACAAAAACAGATACTTTAAAACTTAACTTATCACTTATCAGAATAATGAATCAAAACTTCATTATCATAATGAATTAAAAAATGCCAAATTTACAGCATCAAAATTTACGTGAGGAAAAAAACACCAAATTTACAACAAAATTTATGTGAGGAAAAACAACACCAAATTTACAACATCAAAATTTACGTGAGAAATCGTGAGAAAAAATATGCCAAATACATGAGAAAAAAACGCCAAATTTACAACATTCATTGTACAACTAAAACACAACCATCAATTTAAACGGTTACGTTATGACAAAACAAAAAAAAAAAAAAAAACCAAAACCGAAAAAAAAACCGCCAAATTTAAAACATCAAAATTTACGTGGAAAAAAAAACGAGAAATTCACAACATCACTTACAACATCGAGGACAACATTGGACGTGTGCCATAACACAGATAGAGGCAGGTGCCCGAACCAAATCCTATCTATCTATTAATATCCTATCTATCTATCCTATCTATCTATTAATATCCTAGCTATCTATTAATATCCTATCTATCTATTAATATCCTATCTATCTATCCATATCCTATCTATCTATCCATATCCTATCTATCTATCCTATCTATCTATCTATCTATCCATCCATCCATCCATCCATCCATCCATCCATATCCTATCTATCTATCCATCCATATCCTATCTATCTATCCATATCCTATCTATCTATCCATATCCTATCTATCTATCCATATCCTATCTTTCTATCCATATCCTATCTATCCATATCCTATCTATCCATATCTTATCTATCCATATCCTATCTTTCCTATCTATCTATCTATCTATCTATCTATCTATCTTATCTATCTACCTATCTATCTATCTATCAGCTATCTATCTATCAGCTATCTATCTATCTATCTATCTACCTATCTATCTATCTATCTATCTACTCTATCTATCTACACTATCTATCTACACTATCTATCTACACTATCTTTCTACACTATCTATCTATCTATCTATCTACAGTATCTACCTATCTACAGTATCTATCTACAGTATCTATCTATCTACAGTATCCATCTATCTACAGTATCCATCTATCTACAGTATCCATCTATCTACAGTATCTATCTATCTACAGTATCTATCTATCTACAGTATCTATCTATCTACAGTATCTATCTATCTACAGTATCTATCTATCTATCTATCTACAGTATCGATCTATCTACAGTATCTATCTATCTACAGTATCTATCTATCTACAGTATCTATCTATCTACAGTATCTATCTATGTACAGTATCTATCTATCTACAGTATCTATCTATCTATCTACAGTATCTATCTATCTACAGTATCTACCTATCTACAGTATCTATCTATCTACAGTATCTATCTATCTACAGTATCTATCTATAGTACCTATCTATAGTATCTATCTATAGTATCTATCTATAGTATCTATCCATCTACAGTATCTATCTATCTACAGTATCTATCTATCGACAGTATCTATCTATTTACAGTATCTATCTATCTACAGTATCGATCTACCTGCAGTATCTATCTATCTACAGTATCGATCTATCTACAGTATCTATCTATCTACAGTATCTATCTATCTACAGTATCTATCTATAGTACCTATCTATAGTATCTATCTATAGTATCTATCTATAGTATCTATCCATCTACAGTATCTATCTATCTACAGTATCTATCTATCGACAGTATCTATCTATTTACAGTATCTATCTATCTACAGTATCTATCTATCTATCTATCTATCTACAGTATCTATCTATCTATCTATCTATCTATCTACAGTATCTATCTATCTACAGTATCTATCTATCTATCTATCTATCTATCTTTCTCTCTCTCTCTATATATACATACGTAATTATATAATCAACTAGAATCACAAGTTGGATTACCCGGATAGAATGGTTCTTTTCCCTTGTAAATGGCGATTATGGGATATAATGAAATATTAATAGACTGTTTGTGGGATGTTGGTTGATACCCTTCGACAATCATGGCAATGGGAAATCGGCGAACTAAATTGGCAGATGGGAAAGTAATCCATAGACCCTGCTTATTACCAGAGGGCAGGTCTAACATAAGCCATGGATCATATGCCATGCAGTCACTGGGGATATTCCATGTATCTGGGATGCACTATTCCAAGTTGTTCCATGTAACATCTTGTACATAAACAGTTGTTAAGCTTCCCATATTTTATTTTCGACGTTGTTTTTGCAGGAACCACATCTATACTCGTAAAAACCCATGGTTTCCTGAAGATGTTCCCTTAAACAATCCACTGACACTTACAAGGTCTTCAAGATTTTACTAACTGATACCCCTTGGGAATCAAACATGGCAATGGACAATTCAGCATAGCTTATTTCCCCAGCTATAAAGCCTGCATTAAAAAGAGGTTTTCCCAGCTACAAAGCTGTCCCGTAAGACGGTGCCCCAGTGAAATGTTTGTTGGTTTATGTTACCCCCCATGAATAGAATACTACTTCGATAGAGCTACCTTTTCAACCCGACAGTTGTTGGGCGTACTGCATATTTTTTCAACCAACTTAGACATCATAAATCGTAGATATTCTGAATCCCCATTTTCCGTGCCTTATTCCCGACGTTTTGAGCGTTTCAAGCTCCATGGTGGCACCAGGTTTTAAGAACAACCTGGACCTGGCAGACTTTGCCAAGGCCATCGTCAGCACAGGCACTTACGATGCAGACCGAGCAGGGGAGCCTGGATCGTTTGGTCAAAGGACAGGAATTTACAGATATTTGGGACCATTCACTGACCATTAGCTGACCATTCACTGACCATTCACTGACCATTAGCTGACCATTCACTGACCATTCACTGACCATTAGCTGACCATTCACTGACCATTCACTGACCATTAGCTGACCATTCACTGACCATTCACTGACCATTAGCTGACCATTCACTGACCATTCACTGACCATTAGCTGACCATTCACTGACCATTCACTGACCATTAGCTGACCATTCACTGACCATTCACTGACCATTAGCTGACCATTCACTGACCATTAGCTGACCATTCACTGACCATTAGCTGACCATTCACTGACCATTCACTGAATATTAACTGACCAATCACTGAGCTTTAGCTGACCATTCACTGACCATTAGCTGACCATTAACTGACCATTCACTGACCATTCACTGACCATTAACTGACCATTAACAGACCATTCACTGACCATTCACTGACCATTCACTGACCATTAGCTGACCATTCACTGACCATCATTCACTGACCATTCACTGACCATTCACTGACCATTCACTGCCCATTCACTGACCATTCACTGACCATTAGCTGACCATTCACTGACCATTCACTGACCATTAGCTGACCATTAGCTGACCATTAACGGA